AAAAAAAAAAAAATACATTTTTAACAATCTCAAAATGGACATTCAAAACACAAAATCCAAAATAAATTCAAAACGAAAAACGAAAAAACTGAAATACGAAGAGAACGGCCCCTTAGCTTTTTAATACATATTCATGATAACTAGAAACTAGCTACTTGATAATTTTAAAAATTAAAAAGAATAAAAAAAAAATAGTTATTTTACAATGTTATGCATATAGGAGTCATGCTTCATAATGTTGCAGTGTGTGCTCCACCAAAAACTTTTACTCAATAAATTATTGTCGCACTGAGATTAGTTTGAGCTCATCATACCATGACAGATAAACATATAAAAAGAGAAAAAGAGAAACTTTTTTTCAAAATACAATTATTAAAAATGGGAATGGAGTAGATAAGGGAAAAGAAAAGTAAAGAGATAGTTGATTTGTTTGTACTTTTTCCTATAACATGTAGCTAAAATTTGTAAATTAGGGCATTAAACGTGAAAAGTGTCTCCCTCTGAATTTACTAGTCCTTCTTTCATGGAAATCACCGTGTTATCCATAAACACTTTTCTTAGCAAAACTAAACCTATTTTTCTGCTGTTAAATAATTAATTATGCCTTTTTAGGAGCTAGATTGAGATGTATTCAATCTACTCTAAGGGCCTGCTATGGAGTTTTTTTTTTCCCCACCGATTTTGATCGATTTTGAACATCACCGTTTATGAAAGGTTCCCTCAACCCACCAAATCGACGGGTTTTGACCGTTTCTCTTATTCTTTTTTAATTTCACCCTTTATAATATAATTATTTCTAACCAATCTATTTTGGTCAAAACTAAATTGTAAATAAAAACATATTAACTAAAAAATATATTATAATTAAAATAATACTTATAAGTAAAATAATAAGAAAAATTACTTTTCTGTAAAAAAAAAATTGTTATAAAATAAAATACTACTAATAAGAAAAAAGTTGGTTATAAAATATATAAAAACAATTACTTATAAGTTAAAAAAATTCAATTAAAATTATTTAGAAGTATTAAATTCACTTATAAGTAAAAAATAATAACTTAAAATTTGAAGTAAATATTTAAATTTATTTAATTTTTTAAAATTAAATATTAACTTATATGTAAAAAAATTATCTATAAATAAAATATCACTTATGAGTTAAAAAAACTTAATATAAAAGAAAATTTTACTAAGGAATATATACGTAATTTTATTCTTTTAAAGAACTTTCAGAATCGGTGGATAATAAACTTCTAAGCATAGGTTGTACATATTTAGAAACCGCTACTAAAACCACTCAAAATCAATCCGTTCATAAACTTGAATTACCAACTTCTTTCGTGTCGCGTCAATAGTAGTATCAAAATCTATTTCAAATAATATCAAGCACAATGGAAAGAGTCTTCTTGTTTTCATTCAAAACCGTGAGAGGTCAATAAATCCCTTGCTCCTTAACCAATTGTTTTGGACTGAAACCATCATCACGGATAAGATATGAGAATTAATGAAATGTTGATGCTAAGGATTCAATTAAAAAAAGTTAGGAACATGAGCATGACAATGATCAATATTATGAACGTTTCATTTAATTAAATATGGTGTACTTATAAAAAAAAGTATGGTATGTATATATTTAATAATTTTAAATACACATAATTGGAGAAGCTAAAGCAGAATATGAGAAGTTATAATTTTTAGGATTAATCTACGTGTACATACATATAGGGGTTGACATCACATTATGTCAATCCCTATGTATACACCTATGTACACATAGCATAACCCTAATTTTTATTGCTTCTAAATAATATAAAATCTTCTACAACTAGTTTTTTTTTTTTCAAAAGCTCACCAAACACAACAATTTCTAATTGTTTGACAATCAAAATTGGTCTATAAAATAAATCCAAAATGGAACCTAAGAGAAATAGTCCAAACTCTTGTATTGGTTATTCGTTTTTTTCATTATCGATGTGAGATTTATCTTTATACTCTACTTATATGTTACATGTCAATTTAAAGTCGATATTAAGGTTTTAATAAAAGCACTAAAAAGATAGTTCATAGATCTCATCCTTTCTTATTTGTGGCCTATAATAATCATTGTGACTAAGTGCTTGTTTGATTAAATAAAAAATTATAATCATATATTTAATGAGATCCACATTTTTTATTAATTTTTTAATCACATATTTTACCAACTTTTATTAAAACTAATAAAACTTTTATCATAAGCTTAGTCAAACAAAATCTAAGCAAGCAAAAGTTGTAGTACGAGTAAAAAAGGTTTGTTTTTGTCGAAGTAATTATTTGTAGTGTTGTGGAAATTAGATTAGTTTAGCTCATCATACAAAGCAATATAAAGGTAAAAAGAGAGTTACTTTTTCAAATGAAAATTATTGAAAATGGATATGGTTTGGAAAAGGGTAAAGAAAAGGGCAAAGGATGTTGATTAGGTTAATTATTTTCCAATAAAATGATGGCAAAAGTTAATAATTTGAACATATTATATTTCAAAAGTGACTCTCTCTTACTAAATTTATTAGTATTTCTTTAATGGAGATCGTCGTGTCATCCAAAAACTTTTTCCTGATATATATCCAAATCTATTATTATGCGTATGTAAATTAGATCTTTCATACAAGATTGAGAAGTAAAAGAAATATAGTTCAAAATATCATAAATCTGAAACTGAAAATAAATTTCTTACAGTTAAGTTTTACGATTATATGATATAAAACCTTAATGACATGTTTTATACATATTTCTTAAGTATTATCGAAAAAAATTTGTTTTGGCTAATCCAAAAAGTTTGTTTTTCATGCTAAGAAGTGCATGCATATCAAATTCATTTTTAATAAATAGCTACAATAACTTGAACTTAGTTTCTTTCGATAAGTTGAATCATCACTTCTAAAAGTTAAAAACCTAAAGCTGATAAAGATGAGATGTACATATTTTTTAAACATTATATCAAATATGTCGTCTCATGACCATGTCAGATTCATTTTTCAAATTAAAATATTAACTTAATTATATACAATTTTCATAAATAGGCGACAAGAAGACTAAAATTTATAACTTTTGGCCGTTCTATAATATAAGCTATCTAATTTAAAAGCATAAAGTTCAATAATATGATAAATGTTTATAATTTCAAGCAAGTACAAACTTGAAAATATATAT